CTTTGAGGGTGCGTTAAAAGTCATACTGTGGTCTTATTCCCAAGGCATATGACTGTGACCAAGCAAATTTTCAGATATTTTTACTATATCATTTTTAAGTTATGGACCCATATATTTGGCAGATATGACAATACAATACCAGGAGAAATTGCATTATTGGCCCAATTGGTGGCGCTATATCTCAGCTTCCTTTGAGGGTGCGTGGAGGCACTATATATCAGCTGCATTTGAGGGTGCTTTAAAAGTTCCACTGGGGCCTTATTCCCAGGGCCCCTGACCGTTACCATGCAAATTTTCAGATATTTTTACTGTAGTATTTTTAAGTTATGGACCCATACATTTGGCAGATATGACGATACAACAACGTGAAAAATAGCATTATTGCCCCAAATGGTGGCGCTGATATGACAATACAATAAGAGGAGAAATTGCATTATTGGCCCAATTGGTGGTGCTATATCTCAACTTCCTTTGAGGGTGCGTTAAAATTTCCACTGGGGCCTTATTTCCAGGGCCTTTGACTGTGACCATGCAAATTTTCAGATTTTTTTACTGTAACGTTTTTAAGTTATGGACCCACACATCTGGCAGACATGACAATACAATACCAGGAGAAATTGCATTATTGGCCCAATTGGTGGCGCTATATCTCAGCTTCCTTTGAGGGTGCGTTAAAGGTTCCACTGGGGTCTTATTTCCAATGCATTTGACTGTTACCTTGCACATTTTCAGACATTTTTACTGTAGCATTTTGAAGTTATGGACCCAGGTATTTGGCAGATATGACAATAACAGGAGAAACTGCATTATTGTCCCATTTGCAGTCTCCAGTTACTGTATTGTCATTTCTGCCAAACTTATGGGTCCACATCTTCAAAATAATAATGCAATTTCTCCTGTTATTGTATTGTCATATCTGCCAAATGTATGGGTCCATAACTTAAAAATGCTACAGTAAAAATATCTGAAAATTTGCATGGTCACAGTCATATATATGCCTTGGGAATAAGACCACAGTATGACTTTTAATGCACCTTCAAAGGCAGCTGAGATATAGCGCATATGACCTCACTGGAACGTTTAACGCACCCTCAAAGGAAGCTGAGATATAGCGCCACCAATTGGGCCAATAATGCGATTTCTCCTCTTATTGTATTGTCATATTAGCCTAATTTATGGGTCCATAACTTCAAAATGCTTCAGTAAAAATGTCAGAAAATTTGCATGGTGACAGTCAAGTGTCAACTGGGAATAAGGCCCTAGTGAAACATTCTACGCACAATAGCTCAAGTCTGTATTGTCATATTTGTCAAATTTATAGGTCCATAACTTCAAAATGGTACCGTAAAAATGTCTGAATCTTTTCAGACATTAAAGCCTCTAATGAATCTTTTAACGCACCCTCAAAGGAAGTTGAGATATAGCGCCACCAATTGGGCAATCAGTGCAAGGGCCCATTTAACTGTATAGTCACATATGTCATATTTATAGGTCCATCTTCTAAATGATACAGTCAACATGTCTGAGATATATATATATATATATTTTTTTTTTCATTTATTTATTTATCCATCTTCTAAATGCAATACACCAACAATGCAATGGCTCATTCAGTTTAATTCATATTTATCTGTATAACGCATTTCACAACACATATTGTTTCAGAGCAGCTTTACAGAAAATGCATGTTTTTCTGTAACAAAACCAGAATAGTCTTTATAGGAGTGGGTATCAGAAATAGGTATTTACATTTTAAAATAGTTAATTGTTCGTTTCTGAAAAAGAGACGCAAATAGAATAAGAAGCTAAGAAACGCGGAAGCGTCGCGTTTTTAAGGTGGAACGGATAGCGTCAATAAGAAGCTGTGAATAAGAAGCTGAATTCAGCCTCGTGCTGTCACAGCATGCGAGTACTAAGTTTAAGTTAAAAACACACGAGTTACAAAAACAGTCGGTTGTGTCTGTGAAGGGAAACAGCTGGGAAATAAATCGCTTGTTTATTTTAGATCTGTGTGGCAGCAGCAATATACAGTAGCCTAAATAAATCAATAATTCCACTGCTCTCTTGTCTCCTCTGAGGCTGGGACTCTAAACAGTGTTCTGCGCAGCCAATGACAGAACAGTTAGCATGCTTTGCTCAAACTTTCGTTGTGGCATTCGAGCTGGTACACCGTTGTCGCTTGCAAAATCAAAATGACGGCACCGTTGGTGTAAACTTAAAGATTAAGGGACGGTAATATTATAATGAGATCCCTTTGCCATGTCACCATGGGAGCTAAATCTGACCAGAAAAAGGCTTACCAAAACAAAGTTACTAGGTTAATCTTTTTCACGTTTCCTTGGTTGGTAGATGCACCAGGGACCTGATTATAGCACTTAAAACCTGGAAAAGTCAGATTTTCATGATATGTCGCCTTTAAAAGATTCGTTTAAAAACATAAATTCGTTCATTACTAGCATCACAGGAGGCTGAAAGCAGGTGCAAACCTTCATCTTTTAAATGCCCTTTAGAACAATTAAAGGGAATAAAGCATAATTTGTAAATAAACTGTTATTTAAAATAAAAGTTAAGTCGTCAATGTTTACGGGACTGAAACTTGATTTGAATGTTAGTAAATGTCTGAAAGCTCATTAGGAGAATGTTTCAAGTGAGCGTTTTAAATAGGCACCCGACTATTTTTTAAGCAGAGAGAAAATAGATTTAATTTAAGATAAAAACTGATTTAATTTTAGTTGAATTAGAAGAGTATTACACAGAGCTTCAGTCGAGATCTTATGGTTAGGCTACTTATTGATTTTGACATGTTTACACTTCCTTGACCACTAGCCTACTAGCAAGCAAACGCACACATGCAAACCGACTTCCTGTGTGACATTAGAAGGTTTGCGTGTGCAGTATTTGTATAGCCTCAGACGGAAAGATGCTCAGACTTCTCAGCCTATCTCGCTGTGTATCATAATTTCTGAGCGTGGGCATGAAGGAAGATTCTAATTGTGGACTCGAGACGTGACGTTTTAGTATCCTTTGAGCAAACAGCAGTGACTTGCGCTGACACATCGCTCCTCACACGTGTGATGTGAAACATGGATCATCCTGCGTATCATGGGCCGATAAGCAAACAGAGATGTGAGGAGCTGCTCGGCAAGAAAGGACGGGATGGAACATACCTCATTCGGGACAGCGAGACCATTCAGGGAGCTCTCTGCCTCTGTGTGTAGTGAGTATTGTTTTCCTATTCACATTGGTAGTTTTGTTTTTTAAGAAACTGATGACTTTATCAAGGAATCATTTTGGAATAATGCGTTCTTTATGGTGTAATCTCCCACTTCATCTAATTTCCTTGCCACCAACCGATACAAGATAGATAGGTCGTTAGTATTCACTTAAATGAATGAATGAATTAAGACTAAAGGATGGATCAAACTGATTTTCTGCTTTATTAGTTTAGTAGCTACCATAAGAAAAAAGTATTGACAGCTGATAGTGTCGAGAAAAATAACTATATTTTGCATATCACACGTAGGCTATTAAATGCAACAGCTAGCCTATTTGTCTTGCTGGCTACTATTAGGAACTACGTAAATAAATATAAACTCAGTTCACAGCAGGTCAGACATGGAAAGCAGCTCTTTAGAATGAAGGCTGACATTGATATTGATTAGTATTTAAATGTTTTAATATCTGACAGTGTTGAAAACAGCCAGGACTCCTATAAAACCGTATAAACTGACATGTAGTTTTAGCAGTAGTGAGTGATAATAAAATGTAAATATTTTTTATGTATAAAATAAGAATAAAATCAAATGGTTCAGTTTAGGGATGCACCGAAATGAAAATTCTTGGCCGAAGCCGAACAAAATGAAACACTGGGCCGAAGGCCGAATACCGAACACGGTTTTTCACGTTTTTTCCCCCATTTTGCCAATTTTTTCACCATTACATAAATTAAATAGCCAAAATGTGCTTTTTACTGTTTTGTCTTGCTTTTCAAAGAAAAAAATAATTTACAAAACAACAATTTAAAAATATTTACTTAACACTGAACATTTTTTTAGCATTTTAGCAGACATTATACCAATAAAACACAACTTAACTTAAAATTAATAAGTTAGTAAAATAATATTTTTTGGCCATTTTTTAGACCCCCTTCTTGAATCAGGCATGTATTTTTGCCTTACAAATAAATGCAGCCTTGCTGAGCAGAAGAGACTTCTTTTAAAACATTAGAAAATATTATAGATCCTAGTCTGAACACTATGTGTAAATGTTACAATAAATGTTTTAATAGAGCTGTTGTAATTCTTGTAAGTTCTTGCTATTTCTCAACTTTTTTTTTGGCAGAAATCCGCAGGAAGACCTAAGTGCTTCTTTTTGTTGACAAATGAATTACGAATTACGAATTTGGGAAGACGTTTGTTGCACATATCGCATTGTCACATGCCTTGTAAAAATTCATAAAAATGTTACTGAGCAGCTGACGAGTAAAAGTTTCAGCGCAGATTTTCCTCGCGCTTTGGACTTTGAACCCTACCGCCGCGAGCTCGTGCAGCGCTGTTTGAACACATGCAATTCCTGCGTGTATTAGAAAACATAACATTCTGCAGTTTATTTAATTGTTTAAGGACATTTCGTGATGTTAATCATCATACAGTAACCAGCAACTTCCTCTTCTCATCGAAGACATGCGATGCAGTACTAAACAGTCTCTCGCTGTCGGTGCTTGTAATGATTTTTGCGTCTTTCTCGGACAGCCTTTTGTTTCCACACTGCCGTAATGTTTGCTGCATTAGCGCGCACCTCTATTTGATCGCGTCACGTCATTCGGTACAATCTATTCGGTATTTTCGCTTATTCGAAGAGATTAATAATTTCGGTTGCCGAACATTCGGTGCATCCCTAGTTCAGTTGTATTAAGAACATTATACTAATCACCCTTAATCACACTCAAAGTGGCATGTTACTTTCAAAACCAAAGGCAGGTTAATTATTGGAATATATTTTGTTTCTATATCTTTTTCTCTTTATCTTTATCTTATATTCACAAAACAGTGAATTGTACATATTTGAATATTTGTTTTAGAATATTTTATAATGAGAATATTTATGGAAAATTAAGCAGTGAATGTGTAATTTGTAAACAAGAATTTGTAATTCTTACCTTAAAGTGCATTTTTCATGCCAGTAGTTTTTCTAAATTGGTCCTGTTTTTAGCCCTGATGTTATGTTACGGTTCAGTTTTACCCATTTAAATTTTTTTTAGTTGTTGGTAATGCTTTGAATCCAGTGATGTTTTCCTTGAAATTTTTGGATTTTTTTTGTCATTTAGGTTCATGAAAATGTCTGCACTCAGACATGTTTAAGAATGTGCATGTATTTAAAAAGTGTAAAGAATTTTGTTATGTCAGTTTCTCAACTAACCTCTTAAGGGTATTTACATTTGGCAGACGCTTTTATCCAAGGAAATTGACACGGCATTGAAGTCATATATTTTATCTGTTCATGTACAGTATGTTGTGTATGCCATGCTCTACCATTTGATCTTCAGGACAACATACGGAAGTGCTTTTCCACACCACTTCTGTTTAAAATCACTTTTTTTTTTGTGAAATTTGATAAGAGTTAATGTCTAAGATAAGCTGTTTTTACAAGATATTTTGTTTGTGTTTCATTATGGTGAATCCATTTAGGATCAGAAACACAATAGATATAACTGCAGTACAAGATTATGAGATGCATTATTTGAATTCTTGGCCAAAGAGATGTGTCTTTAATCTAGATTTAAACAGAGAGAGTGTGTCTGAACCCCGAACGTTATCAGGAAGGCTATTCCAGAGTTTGGGAGCCAAATGCGAAAAAGCTCTACCTCTTTTAGTGGACTTTGCTATCCTAGGTACTACCAATAGTCCAGAGTTTTGCGACCTTAGGGAGCATGATATCAAGCCCGAAAGGGGAACAGAGTCGCGTGACAGTCACAGTGATGAAGCTGGTATGTGTTTGTGATGTGACCCCCCCCCCTCTCTCTCTCTCTCGCTTTCTCTCGCGCTCTCTCTCTCGCTCTCGTGCTCTCTCTCGCTCTCTTTCTCTTTCTCTCTCTCGCTCTCTCTCACGCTCTCTCTCGCTCTCTCGCTCTCTCTCTCTCTCTCTCTCTCAAACAGTCAATAGCAAATACTTAAACTAATAACAAAACAGTAGCTGATTCAGAAGTGCCAGATTGTCATAGCAAAGT